AAAATGCATAAAAGAAGCTAGTTCATAAACAAGAACAACATATATATAATATTCAATAGTCTGGTGCCTAATCCCCTGATCCAACAGCTCATCTCGCACAGAAGACAAGTTTTGCTATTGTATGTGGAGACATATTTGCGGGACAGCACATTTGAACGCACATCCATGAATCCTGCAATTTATCAGGAACACGCTTGCAGTTAAGCATACACATGGATCAGCAGGATGAACATCTTAACTTGTCCTTGCACCTGAGGTTCAGAACAGTACCTATTGGTATGAAATATTTCACAAACTTAGATGCAACTAACACAGGATGTTGATCACTTGGCAAAATCCCACAGTAGCCCCAAATAGCATACTATTAATCAGGATAATATTTAGGTAGGTGAGGTTAGAGCAATAATGAGTGAGTGAGAGAGAGAGAAAGAGTGTGTGTGTGTGTGTGTGTGTGTGTGTGTGTGTGTGAGAGAGAGAGAGAGAGAGAGAGAGAGAGATCATACATAGAAAGAACCACGTAATCCATCAGCACAATATTGTGAAAGGTAAAAGGAATTGTTCATCCTGCTCAAACAGCCGTAGGTTCTTCAAATTCAACAAAATCTGAACTGCAGGAACATCAAATTCCATCAAGAACCCAGTCCTCACGAGCTCAGCAAGAGCTGGAATCCGATCTGTATTCTCCGACAACAATCCTTTAGAGATCTCCTCAGCAAAACATAATGCATACTCCATCTTCATTGCATTGGTCATTGATCCTGGTCCATCAGTCTCTGTCACAAATAGCCTCGAGTTCTCCCTCTCCCAACGGAAAAACCTTGCACATGTAACATGCATGCTTCTTCCCAATGAAAGTCCAACTTGATAACTCACATTAAGAGGCCCTCTTGTCTCGTAGACAGCAACATTGGTGAGACTTGCAACCATTTCATGCCTCTTCTCAACAGAAATGCTGAGGATGGGATCGGCAAGGAAAGCCAGGACAATTTTGAGCAAGCCAAGTTTAATCACAGTACCCTTATGAACATGGGTAACAGATTCAATTTTCAAGTGCTCATATTGATTGCTGGCAACAGCTTTTGATATTTTCTGAACACCAATGCTACTGTAGATATCATTTAATCTAGCAGGAGACAAGCAAGACAGGCTAGTTGAAGGATACCAAACGAACAAAGGTTTCTGAGCCTGCTTCTTGAAAAGATCCTCCAGTATTAGATCATCGGGAATGAAGACATCTTGTTTCTCGAGTAGCAAAGTCTGATCACCAGAACTAACAGGAACCTTATCGATACACCCAGCAATAAACTTCCCCATATCAGTGCTCCAGTTCTTGCCAAAGAATTCCCAGAAATCAACACATGCTTTTTGTGTCAGTGCAGAGTTCGAGCCCTGCCACACACTCCAGAGCTTGCAATAATCGCTGACTGTTGGATGATGCTTCACACCAAAAGCCGTGTTAAAGTACCGAAGCAATTTGCTGCTGTACCATTTCACCAGAACATGGAGCTGAGAGTCAAAAAGACCGTTACTGTCATAAAGAACACAACTGGCAGGGTTGACCCATTGACCTTCATTAGCTTCATAAGGTATCCAAATCCAATCCTCACTGGTGTATCGAGGCTTCCAACGGTATACCTCCAAATATGAGTAAATCCTAGAAATTGCATCAGCATTAGAGAGACCTTTTAGATGCCGTGCCATCAGTACACAAGCACAACTAGCTCTAGGATCCACAATAACTCCTATTGTTTGCAGCTCACTCTCATATGAAACAAGCTCCTGTCCATAAAACATTTTATCTACGAAAGGGCCATCATCCCTGTGAACATGAGAAGAGCACAACGAACCAAAACGGATACAACCGTTTGGATGACTGTACCCTGCAGTTAACTTAACCCACTTCAAGTTTATTGCACTCATGAAACTTTTACGTAGAGCAGATCCATTTTTTCTCCAGATTCTGATGCACTTTATCAATGAAATAAAGGCTTCTGGAGTCACAGCTGAAGGATCAAATTTGGAGTCCCGAAATGACAAATGCTACACCGTGTTCTAATTGAGCTTTGGCACCCAAGGCCATCAGTTCATTACTGTAGCAGTAGATCTCCTTCCCAAGGCCATGCTGTGTGTCGTTGTCATCGACGAATGGTAGGCGGGAAACTAAAGCAATAGACTCCCATTCTGAGCCAAAGAGAATTGCTTCCTTCGGGGACCTGAAACCAAATGATGTATGTAGCCATCTCTCACGGTGCATGAGGTTCGCAAGATCAACAGGTAACCTCCCATGCCTGGTGATTAGGTCTCTGTAGCATTCTAGCAGTGCAAATGCCGCTCTTTTGTAATAGAATAAGTGCTTACAAGTTTCTTGACACAACGCACTAGTTTTTTACTTGCTTCCTTGAAGCCAGCAATTAGACCAGTTTTACATAACTCTACTTTGTACAGCTTGATTTCATCCCCATAGAATTCCAGATCAAGCAATGGCACCTTGTCAACGACCTCCAAAAGACATTTCCAGTCGTCACCAATAAGGAATGTTTCGTGAGGAGCTCTGAAGCCAACATCAGTCTTCAACCATCTGAGATCTTTCAGTCTTTCTACAAAATCATGAAATTCCTCAGCGTATCGAATACACTTGAGCATTAGTATTGTAGCACCAGGAGTGATTGTATCTTTAGAGAACCTAAAGTTATCAACCACCAGCTGATAATTTCTTTTGAAGTCAACAACAACTCCAAATAGCTCAAGCTCTGACCTGAAATCAGCTATGTCAACCCCATAGAAGACTGTATCGATAAAAGGCAAGATGCTGATGACCGAGGCATTCTCCCATTCTGAATTAAATAGGATTGAATTTAATGGTGATCTGCTGCCAAGACAAGTCTTAACCCAGCAGCCATTTTCCATTCGTTCAATGAGATGTGGAGTCTAGTTATTCTCATTCAGAAATCTGATCGATTGAAGCAGAGCTAACATATTGGCTCGAGAGAAAGTTTTAGTTGTTGAGGACAGAAGATGGTTACATATATGCACAGCTGCATCTACAAACTCAAATTGCACTCCAATAACTCTCAACTCTTCCTTGTAATTTTTTATTTCATTTCCATAAAAGTCTTGATCAATAATGTGTACATCAGATAAGATTGATTGGATTTGTGGAAACTTTTCCCATTCTGCACTCAGCAGAAAGGATCCCAGAGGTGAACTGTAAACCAAGGATGTCTTTAACCACTTCCTATTGCTGATAAAGCTCAAGAATTTCTGAGGTAGCTGGACACACCTCAACCTTAGATTCCTGATACATTAAAGGGCGTACCTAATGCAGAGAGCTTTGTAGAAGTAAAATAGCATTCTCCATAGTCATTGGTTCGGTGGCCATGTCCACAGATGCGTACGAAATTTCAAACTGCACTCCAATGGATCTCAGCTCCTCCTTATAAGAACTTATTTTGTTCCCATAAAATTCTTAGTCAATCAAGGGTACATCAGCTAACTCTGAAATAATCTGCCTCAAATTTGTCCATTCTGAACTCAACAAAAAAGACTGAGATGGTGCATTGTAACCAATTGAGGTCTTCAGCCATTTTCCATTCTTGATGTTGTCCAAAAAGTTTTTGGGCAGCAGGATGCCCCTTGATGTTAGATGCCCAATCCACTGTAGAAGTAAAATAGCATCCTCCGTACACAAAGGCTGGCTGCCAATGTGTATAGATGCATTTGCAAACTCAAATTGCACTCCGATCACCATCAACCCTTCCTTGTAAGTATTTATTCTATTTCCGTAGAACTCTTCATCAATTATGGGTACATCAGCAAAGATAAACTGTACCTGCAGCTTACTTCCCCATACTGCACTTGCTAGAAAAGTTCTTAATGGTGACTCGTAACCAAGAGATGTCTTTAGCCACTTCCCATTCCTAATACAGTTTAAGAAGTTTTGTGGCAGATGGACTATTTTTAATTTTAAATTCCTGATCCACTGTAACAGCAAAAGTGCATTTTCCATGGCCAGAGGAGACGATACTGTTGGGAAGCTGGAATTAGGAGGACGTAAAAATGGTATATCAGCTGCTTGTGCATAGGTCCTCAGGAATTTTATGAGCTGACCTTCAGACGTATAATTTCTGGCATATCTTCCTGAAAAGCTATAATCTGCTGACAGCTCAACATAATCTTGAGATCTCCAAGGAGGCAAGGATTAGTACCAATTACTCTAACCCACTTGCTTCCATCAGCAGGGTCAAGCAAAGATTTTCTAAGTTTTATAACCTTTCCGAAGTTATCAACCACAGGCAATACTTGGCACAAGTTGACAATGATCCTCTCAGTTATGTACTTTTTTGTATGTGAATGATAAAGAAAATGGCAGTAAATAAGAGCTAACCCACTCTTGTTAAGTGCCTTGGATGCAGTAGAAGCATACTCGTGTGGAGTCAAAATTTGCATGTTCACAATGTTTCTAAGCCAGTCCATCTGTATTCCCCCAGAAAATGCATCCAGAGACCTCTGTGTACTTAGGGGCAAAAAGAATAGACTAGGGGCCGCTGAGAGTCCTTGTTCCAGGAAATAAGCCAAGACAAGTCATCCAAATTAGATGCTGTGCATATCCTTAAAGACCTTTGTGCTGCTCGCACACTGGAATATGACAATCGACCGTTGATATCCACATACTTTATGAGAGATATAAGCATCATACTTGTTCCAAAAAACACTTTCCAATTTCCAGCAACAAAATATAAGATCTGAAGGTACACTTCTTTCACAAGATTCAATCCATCAATACACTTACTGTACCATTCTTTGTTGGCATATCCAATACCTAGAAATTCTAATACATCATCATATTCTTGGTTGTCAAGATAGGAGCTCAGGACAAAAGTACCATACGAAGATAGATTCTGCAGACCGATTCCTTGCATCTGGGCCGAATTCAAAATTCTCCAGAATGCACTATCCAGCCAAGAGACTTCAGTGGGCTTGCAGAATACCTTCTGTGTAGTTCATGATTCACAAGGCATTATATCCTCAGCTTCAACTTTGGTTTTTATGGACAGCCTGACATTATCAAAAAGTGATATTGAAGAGTCCTGAATTGGCAGAAACCTGAAAATGGGTGCGAGAGCAAAATGTGGGGCATCCCTTGACGATTTCAAGAGAGCTCCAAAAGCATTGACAAAAGCAGAAGGTACACACTCAAGTATACCGCGATTCCATTGGCTGTCAAATAAAATGGACTCTCGGGATGAAGCTAGAAGAAAATCTGCTTGAATAATAAAGGGCAAATTAGTGACCATCTCTGTAGGAAGGAATGCATATACGCCAGGCGATTTTGCTCCTCTGCTTAGTCTCTGTCCATGAGGAAATATCAACGTAACTACCCATTGATCAACTTCCATCCTTTTCTGAATTCTGCAGTCTTGTTGGACTTCAAACTTCTGCTTCCACATATAATAGGTGCACTCTTCTGTTTCTCCCTTGCTAATTTCCTGCATAGCTAGATGAAGCGTGTAAGACTCCGCATCTATGTCCTTCCTCGACCTGTAGTCCACTTCACTGGAGATCAAAATCTGGCTGATCCTACTGGCCTTAGGATCATGGTTCATTTCCCTGACAGAGAGCTGCCTAATCTTTGAAAGAAACAAAAGAATTTCAGGATGTGTGCTAGAAAGTTCTTTCTTCACAGCAAGTATCTTATCAGTCTTCAGAGGTAAGATAGTAATAGTTGTAGGAAGGCTCCTAGAAGGGCCATATACTGTTCTTATGTCATCAATATTTGGCTTCCCATCAACCCATTCAGGAACAATGTATCCTATATCACAATCTGCTGAAGGCTTTTCATTGAATTTTATCTGATATCCATTGCTGAAGATGTGTGGTTGACTTGAAACTAGAAATACACTTTTGAAACCAATACCTGAATGAAAGATTACTGTTAGCTACTTTGCTTAAAAGAACTAGAAACACAACATAAAGCAGGACCACACTGTACATGCAAGGCCTTAGTTTTTCTAAGAACAACACCTTACAATGGAACTACAAATTCCATGAAATTATAGAATCACAGATTATTGCGGTTAAGGCAAAATCATTGTTGAAGACGCCAGTATGCTAAGCAGGTTGCTTTGTACAGGGTTCTTCCTCTTTTTTCTCTGTACCATACAAACACAACTCTCATGTCTTCAAGACGAAGAAAAGTGACAGTAAGCTACTTCAAGTAGAATTAATTTATATAAAATTCAAGGGACAGATTTAAGACCATTTGGCAGGAGAAAATGCTTAAACCCTAATAAATTCAAGTATTACTAGAACTCCTAAAGGTCAAACCATCCACAAATTTTCTGATTCAGATAACAGTAAAAAATAAAATAGAACAGGCATATTGAGTTCTACTGTCATCGAAGATGCTTGCATACTTGCTGCATAAACCCAATGCAAAATAGGCAACAGGCATTTTTATACTCCAAAGTCCAAACCAAAAGTTAACTCTCATGGCACGGGAGTACCTTTTTCACCAATGTAGCCAAGATGTTTGTTTCCTTTCTTAGTTGACCTGCCAATCCTACATATGGATTCAATGTTTGCTGCCGAAAATCCCCTTTCATTATTGAAGACAACAAGTGTCCAGCCAGCTCCTGTAGCAGTAATGTCCTTTTCTGTTATGACGAACTCCAGTGCTGGCGACACATCCAATGGATATTTGTTGTCCTCAGCATTCTACAAAATTTCAACAGATTAGGCCAAGCATGAAATTTCCCATGAAGTAGCAGCATCTATTCATGAGTTAAACAATAATGAAAATGTTACAGTGATGCTAATTGTACATTAAACTAATATGGTTTCACATTTGCACAAACAATCATGTAGTTGGCCACTTGGTTACAATCATTTTCATTCTCTACAGCAAATGATAGAAGGATAATCTGTGTGACAAATGGAGCAGATTGACAAACTTGTAATTTTAACCACTAGTGTTCCCAACATATTTTAATCACAACATCATATCAAATAATATGTTCTGACATTGACAAATAAGAGCTACAGATGTCTTCAACTTGACGGTCATCGGCAAAATAGGTTGGATGTTCTGGCCTGCTAGCCATGTCTGTGACATCATTCTCTTTCATATAAATTTACAAACTTAACCAACAATTGCAATACCACATGACATAAACCCACAACCATCTTATTTACCTTCATCAATCATCACTATGCCATAAATCCAGCCAAAAGCTCTTTAGGCAATTTAGGTGCATGCATCCAATATACAAAGTAGCACAAGTCATCTGCTCCCATTGGAGGACCAAGTTCTCCACAAACCATCACCATGAGACCCAAAAAAGCTCTCACCTGTGAGCCCACCTATACTGCCACAACCAAATCTCCTAATTTCTATCCTTATCTCCGCCTAATGAAAGAGTAGCCATCTTTCTGTTGTGTTACTTTTTGCAAAAGCAGCTGCCAAAATATCTCTATGGCAAGCGACAACACTAAACGCTAAAAGGACACAACGGAACTATCTTAAGCCTGATCAATCCTATGCACAAAGAATCGTAATCCTCCTCTTTTAAATTTGGCTCGTCGACAAGGAAATAAAGACTAATTTAGAGGCAATTCATCAAACACCTCCCATGCAGCAAGAGATGGCTGTGCATATGTGGAAGATAGAACTGTCAATCAAAGGACAGTATTGCCACTCCTCAAATAAATAAAGATGGGATTGGATTAGAGCAAAGCAAACAAAGCTTCAAAACATGGTAGAAGGGAAGATATTAGAACTTGCAAGAAGTATACAAACTTCCACTGATTTCACATACACAGCGCGACATGCGACCTATCTTGGCGGGCTGCTGTCCTGGTGTGATGTTTGCGTGCTTGCACCATGGAGAAACACAATGGTAGATCATTACCATGGCAGCGAAGAGCACAAAAGCAAACCTGACATGATGAAGCAAATTAGCGAAACCACTCTGTTTGCTGTGAGCTAATCACGGGTTGTCGGGTGCACTAAGCTCATGTCCAATTGACCTCCTATCCAACCTTCTAAAACCAAATTTTAGGTTTATATAGAGGAAAAATACACTCCTTAATCAACTCGTATATTTAGTAGCACCATCCTAAACCACCTCTCATCTCCGTCCAAAATCATTATTGGACGAACGTGCGTTGCCAACGCAAGCAAATTACGGACCGAGATTAAGGGCTTATTTCGATTCATTAGCACTAAAAATTAGATAGCTAAAAGCTAATACTCAATCCATCCCAAATTGTAAGACGTTTGATTTTTTTGACACCAAGTTTGACCACTCGTCTTATTCAAAAATTTATGTAAAATATCACTTCTTTCGTCGTGGTTTGGTTTATTAATAAAAATTCTTCAAGAATGACTTAAATTTGACTATATTTGCACAAATTTTTTAAATAAGATGAGTGGTCAAACTTGAGGTCAAAAAAGTCAAACGTCTTACAATTTAGGATGGAGGGAGTAGCTCCTAATTTTTAGCCAGCTAATATTTAGTAGGGGCTGTTTGGAGCCATCTGCTAATAGGTGATTGCATAGTTAGTCGAAGGTGCATACAAACTATTAGCATATGTTAGCAACTTCAAACCTACTAATAGAATTAATAATTATCAGATCTCTGCCTAATAATTAGTAGGTATATTTGGATCCACTGGTACTAATAATTTTAGGTGCTAATTTTTAGTATTAATAACAGGCCCTAAGGGAGTGCGGGCAGACGGCGAGGTCGCGGCAGGCTGAGCCGCTGAGGGCTGTAACACCTCGGGTGTTAGCCTTACACAATTTGACTTGCATAACATGAGCATGAGCATCAAGCATTCATATATGAGCCTTTACACTTGAAATATTTGATTGAAACATATGCAACATTTCTTATCATTTCATGTTTCCTTGTATATATATGCAAATGATCATGAGTGGATATATATAAATGATTGGGTGACCTTGCAATTAGCCTAATCATGCTTAGAGTATCATCATGAACAACTTTGATATTCATGGTTAGGGGTAAATAGGTCATTAAGCCATAGTTTGAAGTGTATTACCATTTAAATGTGACATGTTTGACCAAGTTTGAATCATATGCTAGAGACTATGCATGTATGTGGTCACTAAAGCAAAGTTATAGTATTTGTAATAGGGAACAACTGTTATGTTTGGGTCATGAGGTAATAAGGTGCATAGGTTAGTCTTTTGGAGCTCACAAATATCATTAAATAACTGTTTTCAACACTTAGCGAAATATTCTAAGTCTCATACTCTGACAGTGCTATCAGCCCGACTTTGGATTGATTTTTCTTAGTAATGGTTGTGAATTATCACATGATTCTTTAATAAGAAATGAAGATGGTACATAGGTCTACAAGTTCCATTTAGATTGTCGGCACGATAGAGCAACCGTTTAGCAGTTTGATTGTGTTGAAATCGCGTCGTCAGTTGGTCTGTTACTGCGCCGAACGAACTGAACTGGCCGGTTCAGTGGTCGACATCGGCAGAACCCGCGCGCCACATGGTGGCTGCGACGGCCGCGCGTCGCCAGCGCCTTGCCCCGTGCGGCCAAGCCAGGCCAACGCGCACTACTTCACCGCCAGCGCCCACCCGATCCATCCCGCACCTCATTTCATTTTTCCTCAGCCTCTTTCTTCACCCGCCGCAGCAGCCGAGCTCCCGCAGCGCCACCGTCACCGTCGACGGCACAAACCCGCGCCTAGCCACTCGGTCGCCACCGCAACCTCTCCACCCTCGTCTTAGCGACTCACCACGCCCGCACTAGCTCGCTGAGAGCGCTTGGTAAGCCACAGCAACGCACACGCTCTCGCCGGAGCTTCGCCGCCGTGTTCCATCGTCGTGGCCACGCCGTTATAATCTACCATTGCACGCGATAGCTGATGCGCTAGGTTCGCCGTAGTCCACTGGTGCTTGTCCGAGCTTTAGGTCGAGCCGCCGAGGTCATCACCGGCGTACCGCCGTCGTCCCACCTCGCCGAGCCGCCATGGCCGCCGCCGTCGTCACTAGCGTCGACGATAAGGCCGGCCAAGTGGTGCAATAGATGCGCTAAATCACGTAGGTCACGCCGTGAAAGATGTTACTGCCGCCCAGCAAGTTCGCGCGTCGGCTTCTCCGACCGCGCCATCGCGTAAGCGCCGCCACTGCTCTGCTCGTGTCTCAATGACGTGTGGGGTCCCCTGACCAGCGGGTCCCACCGGTCAGCGACTCTGTACTTGAAAGATAGTTCATTTGATTCTGGTTTTTGAATTCTTTTGTGATTTTTATATCTTCAGTTTGGTAGCTTCAAAAATTGTAAAATAAATTGTTTAGTGTTTCTTAGGAAGTGTAGTATTTAGGAAAAATATGTTCTTAACATTTACAGTAGAAATTTTGGGAAATTTAAATAGAGATTTGCAATGTGTTTTTTTTGAATGCATGCAAACTTGTTTATTTTATATCTAGAGTTCCTGTGCTCCAAAAATTATAAAATTTTGTGGTAAGCTATTCTTATCATGTATGAACTCTGGTAAAAATTTGAGGATCAGTGCATGTGTAGATTTGTAGTTATAGATTTTTATTTTATAATTAGGAGATCCTTGTGTCAATTTTTATAAATTATTTAGGAATCCAATATTCATGAAATTTGTTGGAGGTTATCCTATTAGTATATGGATGCTAAAAAAATAGGAAATTTGTTGCTTGACACTTTTCAATAGGGTTTTCTATTTATGCTATTTCAAGCCTTGCTGCCTTGTCATTTTTTATAGGATGTTCTACTTGGCAAAATGGCATGAAATTTTTACAGTAGTCTATTGGTAGCACTAGTAAGCCACTGTAATTTTCTGAGAATTTATGATGCACATTTGGTATAGGTTTATTATTTAACTTATGTGTCCAAATAAAATAATAAAGACATTTAAATAAATAGTTTGGGCTTCATCATTATGTTTTCTTGGATGTATTTGGTATGCTTAAACTGTTGGTAGACTTTTGGTTGTAAAAAATTTGAATACTTATATGAAGTAGAAGTATTGTTACTTTATAATGCGAATTGGAATAGTTTCCGGATAGATTCTAGAGTTTGCTAAGTTGTATGATAGGGATGATGTTTGCTGTAAAAATGGTTAATAACAAAGTTGTAGATAATTTGATAAGCTTTCCAAAAAGTCTAGAATCACTGCATTTGGATTAGTAGAACTCCTGTTATGAGTAAAACAAGTAGCTATTGTTTTGTGACATAGTAGATGCATCGTGGAAGTAGTAATTAAATAATCGAGAAGAGATATGCACCTACTCAATAAACATGATGCACTTGTTAACATATATGCATTCGTAATACTTATGCCATATTCATGCATCTAGGATCGGAGGAAGAAATAACGTTGCTGGAATTCGACGAAGCAGAGGAAGGGGACCAGCAGGAGAATCCTCAAGTCGCAGCTCCCGAAGGCGAGGAGCAGAATCCTAAAGATCTTCCGGAGTATCCTGATCACCGCCCTACTTTCTTTCTGTGAGGCAAGCCCCGGAGCATTCTAAGTCTCCTAGTATTTTATAAATGATTACTTAAGTACTTATGATTGATGCATTAGGTTATAAGAGTTGAATGGAACCACTTGATGCATATACATTCCTTGTCCAGCTATTACACCTTTAACCGGTATAGGTCCAGGATCAAATATATGCTTAGCCATGCTTAGACTGGTAGAAGTCGGATGATTTCCAGTCACCTGCGAGATATAGGTGGATACCAGAGCACGGTTGGTTATAATTGCTATCGTGGAAAAGAACCATGGTTAATGTAAATGAAGATCGGGCGGGATGTCGATAGAGAAGCAACAAGACATGGAGGTCTTGGGTGTGGATCTATCCCCGTCTGTGTCGATTAAAGACCGTACCGTTGTTGGCGCTTCGACAATATTGAACACATGCCTCTCACTTAGCTGGTCGGATAACTTTCGTTTCGACCGCGCCCGAAAAGCCGATAATTCAACTCGTGTCGGGACCCGTTCATTGTGCGCTCCTTCCGGGAATGATCGATCGAGCCCAAAAGGCGGCTAGGCTCGAACGTCCCGGCATCCGGTGTTCTAGATTGTGCGGCACTGCATGCGGACCCGCCAAATGTGTACCGAGTTGTACCAAAGGTGACCTAAGGCTATCGTGGTTTGGTAGACCAGGGTTTGTGTTAGGAATAAATTCCCACCGGTTGAAATTGATTCGAATCGCCGTCTCTCCCGGATAGTGAGAAACTTGGCTAGTCCCAACATCGTAGTAATTGTGTTATGGAACATGATGGTTCGAATGAATATGGGATTACAATACCTGCTATGGTTACTATTGTATGCTTTTAAATGGATATACCACATGTTTGGCACAGGATAGTTGCTAATCTAGAGATGGATAGTTATAAATAATTGATAAAGGAATCCTAATTGTACAATAAGTCAATTGCTTTTATGCAAAATGTTGTCAAGCTATCTCCACTTATACAGCCTTGCATAATCCTTGGAGTCATTTTATTTCTGGTTTATGATAGATAAGTCTAGCTGAGTACCTTCTCGTACTCAGGGTTTTATTTCCCGTGTTGCAGATGGCACTGTGTATCATGGTTATTGTAAGAGTTGCTTCTATCCCGCTGTGGATGAGGAGTAAGCCTTGGGCAGGCTTCTTATTAATCTTTCTACATGCTTTTGTGGACCGTGATCGTATTTTGGCACTGTACTAAACTATGTTAGAAACTTTACTTTCAAACTTAATTTGATTCCGCTTTTATCTATCAAACTCGGTTTGTAATAACTTTTATTCGTACTCTGATGGAGAAATGTATCTGTGAACTTTGTGTAATATGTGGCATGTATGTTGAATCATGTACGATCTTGGTTGTTGTAAATCGTTTATCGAGACCCGTCGTGGTACTTGACGGACTACCAGG